TCTTTCATATTGAACAGGTATACTAATGGTCTGTGGTCTGATTTTACTAAAAAATGCGTTCCATAAAGGTATGGTCGAAATTGTTTTATGGCAAAGTAGATTGCTAAAAGTTCTAATTCAATTATTGGTTTTTTCTGTTCTACATTGTTAAATGCCTTCGAAGCAAAACATATTGGTAAATCGCAACCTTGCTGTTCTTGGCTAAGTATAGCCCCACACCCTGTTTTTGAAGCATTAACTGTAATAATAAATTGCTTTGTAAAGTCTGGATATTGTAGCAGTTTCGGTGACATTAAGGCTGATCGCAACGCTTGAAAAGCTTCATCGCATTTCTCATCCCAAACGAATTCTACTCTTTTCCTACTTAATTTCTTCAAAGGTGCTGCCACAGTTGCAAAATTGGGGATAAACCTTCGGTAATAATTCGCAAATGCGACAAAACGTCGTACCGCATCTTTGTCAGTAGGTTTAGTATACTTTTTAATTGCAACTATTTGCGAATCGTCTGGCAGCAGACCTTTTGCTGAGCATTTGTGCCCTAAAAACGTTACTTCGGGCCTGAGAAAATTACATTTTATTTTGGGTTTAATTTTAAGTTGAAGCTTTAACAAGTTTCGAAAACTTTCGCTAAATTTTTAATGTGATGTGCTTCGCTGCAGCCTATAACAATTACGTCATCTACATATAAAAATGCTACGTTGGGTGGAATACCAGAAAAAGTTATACTCATCATTCGCGAGAATGAGTTGGGTGCTATACTTAAACCGAATGGTAATACATTCCATCGATATGCTCCACGGTATGTGCTAAAAGAAGTTATATCACGTGAATCCTCATGTAAGGGGATTTAGTGGAATCCAGAGAAAAGATCTAAAGTGGAAAAATATTTGGCTCTGCCAAGATTGTCTAAAATATCATCAACTCGTGCGAGAGGGAATTTATCCGCAATAAGTTTTTTTTTGACTGCACGGAAATCAGCGCACATACGATATGCTTTTTGACCATTAGTAGATTTTTTAGGAACCAAAACTAGAGGACTATTGTAATTTGAATAACTTCCTTCAATTAAATAGTTATCTAGTAATTTGTTAACTTGGCGAGTTATCTCTTCACGTTGGGAATATGGCAGACGATAGTTATAGTCCCGATAGTTTTTTACCGGGTTACTGTCAGTCAGCCTAAGTTTCTGTTCATAAAAATTGTTTAGTGTCATTTTGTCATTGTCAAGAGCGAAAATGTCTGCATATTTGATGCAAAGGTCAAGTAGGTTGCTGTTAGTTCCTGTGAATATTTGGTTTTTCAAAATATTTGTTAATTCGTTCGTTCGTGAGTCTTCTGTCTTGGTTTTATTAATTGAGTAAACGTGTTAGAAAGTTTTCCGGTCCGAATATTTACATTCTTTAAATGTTTTACGTCATCTGTGGTATTTATGATTTTAATAATTGGGTTACTGCTATTAACTATGCATCTTGCTGTGAATACACCATGATCAACTTCCTGCGATTCCACAAAAAGTGGATCCGGCGAATTGCCAAAATTGAAAATTCTATAAACTTCGCATCTGGGTGGTATGATACAAGTGTCGCTTTCGGTTCCGTGTAGGATTGGTATCGCGACTTTTTCATTGCCGACACAGAAGGATATACGATTGCTTGCATAGCTAATAACGCATTTGTTACTTTTCAGAAAATCTTTACCCAGTATACCATCAGATGGTATGTTAAAATCGTCGTTTACTACATGTAAAGTATGTTTAATGTAAAAATCAGTAAAAGTCAAGTTTACGGTAATCGTACCTAAAGTAGAAACGGTATTAGAAGTGACACCGGTAATGTTAATTATATCGTTTGTATTTATAGGAAAATGTTTATCAATGCTAGAGGTTTTTTATTAGAGAAATGTCGGCTTGCGTGTCGACTAAAAACGTACAAAATTTGTTTGACCCATTAATTTTCAATTCGATAAAGTCAGAGTAATTCAAATTTAAGCAATAAATGCCCTTTGCAGAAAAAGATTCATCTAATTGTCCAATTCTTCCGCCCTCAGTGTTCACTCCTGAGGGGCGTGGGCGTTTAAAGCGCGCACATTAGCATTATTGAGTGACTACTATTATTGTTGCTGTTATTATTTCGATTATTGTTACCTGATGACCGATTAATATTATTGTTGAAATTGTTACCGTTATTGTTGTACCTACTGTTATTACCGTTATTATTGTATCTATTGAAATTAGAGTTATTTTGTCTGAGATTGTTATTGTAGTACCGATTGAAGTTTTTACCTCTGAAGCTACCTCTAAAATATCTGGCCTATTTACTCGGGATCGAAACGCCAACACTTGACGCTCTTTCACTTGATTATTTTGTTCGACTATCATTTTTGCCACTACGTCTTTTGAATCACTGAAGGTAGTTGACGATAATATTGATTTGACCAAATCCGACCGACTATTAAGTCTACAAACGTTAACTGTTTGCTCGACTGCCATTTCATGGGCCTTAGATTGTGTCATACCTTCAATGATCAAAGGACGCTCTAATGCATCCGAAAGCTCCTCGACACACTTAGCAAATTCCGTATAATTGTTATTTGTGACATGTAAAGATGCAATTTTCCCAGCTACAACTTTCGAGTTGTCTGGTTTTATTCTGTTTCTCAACGCATCTTTTATTTGTCTAACATAATTACGTTCGGTTGGAATTGCTTCACGTGCTTTGCCTTCGAGCTTCGATTTCAAAAATGATATAAAAGTTGTATTTAAATTTTCGTCTGCAAAATCTTCAATTAAATTAATTTTGTCGATAAACGATTCAAGTGCTAGCGGATCTCCGTTGTAATTTTGCCTAATGATTGAGGCACAAAGACTAATAAAGAATTTTTTTTGAAAAAATGTAGAAATATTTGGTAGCTGTTGACGGCTCGTCGGATACAGTTAGCAGATCTTTAAATGATGGAGGTGAAATACTTCTTTTAAGACTGAATTTTACCGAAGCTTCCGACTTGGCGTCACTAAACTCTTCTTCTGACTAAGTCTGATTGGCAAATTAGCGATAAGCTATCAGGTGGAATTCTAACACGACAATTTAGTTTAATAAAGCACTTTGCTAACTGTTCCTTGCAACGTGCTAATTTACCCTGCACTTCCTTGAGATCACGGGTATGGGCCGAACTATTGCCAATAACTAGTAGTAAAATATTATTGTAAGCTATAATGAGCGAATATTTGTATTCGTTTAATTTTTTCGCATTCGTAGACAACGGTCTATTTTGTAAAATGCGTTTAGTAAATTTATCAAAATCTGCTTTATATGCTCTAAATTGTTTGTCGAATTCGCTCATTACCGGCTAATCTCAAAGAAGTAGAGGCCCAAACTTACGCAACTAGCTATTGCTCACCATGTTTAAATAAAAATATTAAAAGGAAATTAAATTGTAGAAATTACTTATTTTTTCTCAGTAGGTCGTCGGCTGAAAATTGGCATGCAAAGAGGTGGTATTGCCATGCAACAGGAGTGGGGTTTTTTATCATGCAAATCCACATGCAATAGAAAAGAATTAAATTTGATTTAAATTTTGTTATTTTATTTTAAATATTTATTATTTAATTTAAGAAAAGCAGTTTTTCCACCAGTACACAAGTATATGGAAAAATCTTTTGAGAATTCATCCACTCCTAATTTTTACAGCATTTGTGGCTTTTAAATGGAATTTGGTTATGTTATCCTCGTAGGTTTAACTACTGAGTGCAAAATTTTTGTTTAATTAGCTAAAATAAATCATTTAAATATAATATGTAATAATATTGGCAAAGTGAAATTGCGGTCTAGCCCGCGAGACTTATAGCTAAAACTGAAATATTAAAAAAAATAGTACATATGTATATACATATTAAATGGGTTGATAAGTGGGAAACTTTAGGTAAGTATGCCGAATTAATATTCAAAGTTTTTGTAATTGATAAGTATTGGAAATAGAAAATCACCAGTACTTTTTAAGTATAATGCTTAGCTAAGCAGGTTGCTAAATGGATCAAAACGTCACTTAAATCTAATTATGAAAATGTATGAAAAGTAGAATGGTTTAAATGGATTAAAACGTCACTTAAATCTAATTTTGAAAATGTATGAAAAGTATGAATGGTTTAAAGGGATCAAAACGTCACTTGAATCTAATTATGAAAATGTATGAAAAGTATGAAGCGGTATACGCAAGGATTAAAAATAATTCAAAGAATCCCCCACGTCTCCTATGTTAATGTGAAAAATAAAAGTATTCAGAATATATTTGATAAGAGGGTTATTCAAAAGCTCGTTCACTTTCCTAGAAATTCGAGTTTCCTTTTTTTTGTTACGTTTTAGAAAAATAACAATTTTTTGAACTTTTTTTTCTCTTTAAATTTTCGAAGCTGCACTATGTGCATACTAATATCAAAAGTGAAAATGTATATAAGTATATAAGTATTTAAATATATATAAGCTTAAAATATTCAGCCTTACTCCTTGCTGGACTGTACTCAAAATTCTATCGTTGTTATCCCACGCCGCTGTCTCAAATGTTGTTGTTGGTTGTTGTTAACGCCGCTATTTTATGTATTGCAATGCCTTGGTTTGGTGGACTCGTGTGCTTTTTGGTTAATGCACGACTGTATTTTGGTGTGTTAACCGTTAGTGAGTGGCGTGGTTTCGTATATGTGGTGGTTTATAGTGGTGCTGTACGGTTTTTATCTGGCGTCAGTCGCCGTTATATAAATATGTATCGGTGTATGGTGCTGCTGCTGCTGCTGGTGGCAGCAGGACTCTCCGCGGTATCCCACGCAGTTGGTAACGCTACATTGTGCCGTTTTACGCACCGTTACGTGCGGCGTTATGCGCGTTATTAGGTACTGCTGTCGTTGGTGGTGGCAGGGCTTCCCGTTATGTCCAAAAATGCACGGGACGAAAAGGCAGCGCGTCTTTGTGTGCGGCGCTATACGGGTGACGTTGTACAGCACCCCGTTATTGCCTACAGCAATAAAACTTTGTGCACCGACTTCAGCACTGAGCCGCAGGGTGTCAAAAAAACTTCTTCCTCATGGTCAAGCTCACCGTCACGGTCGCCATGTTGGGCCCGCAGCCTGCACACTTAATAAAAAGGCACTCGCTTACCCCAGAAACTGGAATCTTCGGATTGCTTCCCGAGTCTTTTGGTGTCTTCTCTATCGGCGCTATAATTCTGCCGATTCTCTTTGCGATTGTCCGATAGTTTTCCTTGCAGGGTATGATCACTGCTTTGGTTCGCCCAAGTATGAGGACAAAAAAACGCTGAACACAAGAATAGTAGGTGAATTTATCTTCGTTTCGAGCGCAAGACTACTTCCGATTTAAAAACGCGGGTTGTTAGACTTTTACACAAAAATATTAAAAAGTTTATTGGTTGCTTAAATTTTCACAACTGATTGGCTTGACGGCGTATCTATCATTGAATTAACATTCGTTTTTTCACTCGGTGTTAAGTACCTGTGGAACGTATGTTCCATCAGGGCTATCAACATTACGACAGCGCTGAATAGTGCTATCGTATTGTTAGCGATGCCATTACACTGCTGTTTTTTCCAAAATACTGCATTCGTACGAAAAATACTATTTTTCTGCTACATATGTATGTAAGTGTTGCATTAGCATTTCCTTCTAAACTGGTTAATGCTGTTTTCGAACTCGGTTACTTTCCAAAATTATGGAAAAGGTCGGAGATAACACACAGCCGTCTTCACACAGACCAATAAGCTTACTTCCCTGTCTTTCCAAAGTATCCGAAAAAAAGTATTTATATCAAATATGCGCGCCTGCGGGACCTCGTATTTGCGGAATTGGATTCCCTAATACCAACACATCAATTTGGTTTTTGAGAAAGTCATAGTACAATAGCAGGATTCAATAATAGAAGGTTGGATAACCTGACAGTTGTCTCGCTCCTGCTCGCTGCCTTAGCCTCTGTTGCCTGCTTTTTAAATTTATATAAACCAGGGTTGTGCATGCAAAATATTTACATTATTTACAACAATTCTTTACTTGTAAATAATGTAAATACAAATAATGTAAATATTTATATAAATGTATGTATATATAATGTAAATATTTGCAGGGTGATATTTTTGGTGTAAATAATGTACATTTGTAAAGAATTGTAAACAACTGGTAGTAACAACCCCCGAAATTCGGGAGAATGCAGTAAAGAGTTACCTACCAGTATTAGGTATTTAAGCTTAAGTAAAAAATAAAACGTGATATTCAACAATATATTTAAGTATTTAGCTCAAATTTGTTTTTAAAGAACTTCGTGAAAGGCAATAGATTGGCGCTTACACATATGTTAGTGTTTGGCCGAGCTTCTCCTCCGACTTGTGGCGTGCGCCTTGATGTTGTCACACAAAGCGGAGGGATCTACACTTTTACGCCGACTCCGAACGGTGATTGTATTTTTATGAGAAGCTGTCATGGCAGAAATACACTCGGAGGTTTGCCATTGCCTGCCGAGGGACGACCGCTGCTAAGAAAAAACCTTTTTCTATATTTTTTGCGATGTTGCTTTGACCCGGGCTTGAACCCAGGTCGTGAAAGGCAATATTTGATCTTTTATTGCTAGAGACCTGAAAACCCAACTTTATTTTTAATATGGGAGACAGACGGAGAAAATTAATTTGAATTAATAAGCATAAATGCAAATTAAAATTTTACCCTTACAGACGGCAGTAATGCGAATAAACCAGCCGCAAGGTCGTGGGTTCGAGTCCCACGGCCAGTATACTTTTTTTATTTCTTTTTCATTCTTTTTTTTATAAGTTCTATATTTTTTTTACGTTACTTTCAGTTAGTTGTTGTTGAATTTTTAACAAAATTCATCTCTAAAAATTAAAATTAACTAATAGTAAAATAAGAAATGTGATATAAAATAAAGCAAATGAAAATAAAATAAAGTAAAATTAAATATATAAATAAAATAAAATAAAAAAATATAAAATAAATAATAAAAACAAAAAGTGTTTCGCAATCGCTCCAACCGAGTATCGAACCTAGCAGCCACAGGCTTGTAGCTCGCAACTTTCACCACTCGGCTACCGCGTACGCGAAACCCGACTGCTTCGTTTGCTTACTTGTACAAAAGACAACAACTGGTTTTTACCAGTGTTGTCATCGAAAATTCCCCGGAACCGAGTTAATTCCCAAAAATTTCGTGCATTTGTTCGGCTGCTTATGCTCATTTTAAAGAGGAAAATGCATGAGTTAAAGCAAATTAGGGCTGGTTATGCAAATAATCGAGCCCGTTTGTCTACCGTATAAGACATTGGAGGACCTTACTCTATTCATAGATGCGTGCAGTGGGCTGTGAGTAAAACAGTATTCTCTAAAGTATAGTCGAGCCTTCCACAATATCTGTCCAACGACTTTCTTAATGATAATCGCAATGCAATTATCACTGGAAATGTGCGCCGTACATGGTGAAAGGTATCTACTAAATGCTTTTCATACTTTTAAAGTAAAGCTGCCTTTACAAGAGGCGATGTTTCGACAGGCGATAATCGCATGCATAAGTTGACTTGCTGTCTACTTTGAGGTAAGTGATTTTTGAATCACCACGAGCGATTTTTCTTGAGCAAGGTTGAATTGCCTCATGTAATAATAAATACAGCAATTTTCAATTTTTAATGTTTAGCAGTAATTCTTAATTTTAATTTTAATTAATTAATTAATTTTTTTTTTAATTCTAACTGATGATTAAGTATTAAGTATTTGAAATAAATAAATATATATTAATTTTATCAATTTGCCGAACTCTTAGTTTGAATTTTACACAGCATTGTGTTACTATGTACTATATGTACTATAAAAGACAAAGAACTCCTTCAGATACAACCCCTTTCTTTAAATAAATAAATAAATCTAATATGTAAAAATCTCGTGTCACGGTGTTTGTGATCGAACTCCTCCTAAACGGCTCGACCGATCTTTATGAAATTTTTGTGTATATATTAGTAGGTATGAAAATCTGATGTAAAGTATCCCAACAAACAACACCAACAAAATATTTCTCCAGTCTTAGAGAAATTCATAGTTCTCAACTTGATTTCCCACATAATTCTCCAACTCATCTCTAACCGACGCACAGATACGTAAAAAGTGATAGAGAAACGAATTTTTAATTATAAAGTGAAAAAATAAAGCTAGTGATGTATATAAAGAGGAAAATTACCAACAAAAAGTAAATAATCTTCAAAGAAAATAAAACGCGAAGTGAATTAAGTGGCAGAGTTACTCTAGGAGTGTATTTTGTAAAGTGAATTATTGTTATACGATATTGATTAACTGCATATTACATAAGGAGTAATAAAATAAAAAATATTTAAATTCATCTATGTATGTCGTTTCAAGCAAAAAAAGATAAGTTTACTATTTCAATGATATGTTTGAGGCCAATTGGAGAACCACGTTGGAGTTCAAGTTGAGAACTAGCATTTTCTCAACTTGAGAAACAGTTCTATATTTATACAAAGAAAAATGCCCTTTTTGTTGAGAACGCTATGATCAAGGCCGTATTTAGGGGGTGGGTTGTAGGTGTAGGTAGGTAGAAATATGGGATTTTAAGGCACTAAAAACTTGAAAAAAGGCAAAACAAGCTTTGAAAAAAGGCACAAAAGGCATATATTTTTTAATTTTGTTATGTACTTCCTTTATGTACAATGTGCATGTCCAATTAGAGATATTAAAAAATACATACAGTGGTCAAAAAATTATAGCCGAACCACTTTTTTTCCAAAGATTTAACGTATTATTTTCGTTGTTATTAATTTTTGTTATTTTTTTTATAAAAAATGTAGTTCATTCTTTAACAAACTCTGTGTATATCCAAGTTTCCAAATATGTGCAATATTAAACAAAAATTCAAACAAACTTTCGTAAAAATTTCGAGCATTTTTAAAAATATTAAAAAAAATTAATCGTAGTTTTTAGGCATTTGAAACTTGTACTTTATTCTATAGTCAGAATTTCTGAAACGGGCCACTTGAATTATGTGATATTTTATTTCTAATCAGTAGTAGTATTTTTTGATAGCCATTGGCAATACAAACATATAGGAAACTTTGCTTTTACACAAAAAAACTTATTTTCTTATATATCGACAAGTGTTTTTTTTCTGTCCTTTTTACTTGAAAATTCAATAACAGACGAACTAATTGACCGATTTTGACAATTCAACCGTCATTTTCATTGCTATTAAAACTTCTTCAAGAATATGGGTTTTATTTATTTAAAAAACAATTTTTAAGGTTAGTTTTTTATAAAATCTTTGGTAAAATACAAAAATAATGGTCTTCTCCACCACTTTTTCACACAGAAAACAAAACCATATATGCAAAATTTTACTCTCTAAAATATTTTGTTGACAAACAAAATGGATCGCAACGTGGAAAACCGTTATATTTAGTTGAAGGCTGACGCGCTCGTTGCTTACTTAAATCTACCTCTGTTTGTTTTCAATTTTGTCACATGAAAACAAATAAACCGGTGAGGGCACGCTGGTTTCAGTCGCACTTGACCAAAATAAGTCCGAACGCGCTCGTTGCATTGCGCGTCAGCCTTCAACTAAAAATAACGGTTTTCTACGTTGCGATGCAGTTTTTTTGTCAACAGAATATTTTAGAGAGTAAAAGTTTGCATATATGATTTTGTTTTCTGTGTGAAAAAGTGGTGGAGAAGACCATTATTTTTGACCTTTCTACAAAAAAATCTTGCGTTTGTATTTCTCAATTATTGTATTTCTCAATTATCTCAGCAAATCTAAACTTTTGTATTGATGGTGCTAGCCAAAGCAGAGAAAAAAAAAACAATTTCCTGTAAAATTTGGTTTTTTTTTAACATACGATAATTTTGCGCAGGGGTCTATATAATGAAAATAGTTCATAGTTTTTCTCTTGCGTTTAGTTATATTTCTCAATTATCTCAGCAAATCTAAACTTTGGTATTGATGGTGCTAGCCAAAGCAGAGAAAAATACAAAAAACTACATATTTCCTGTAAAATTTGGTTTTTAACATACGATAATTTTGCGCAAAGGGGTCTATATAA